GGGGGGGGTTAGGGCAGGGTCATAGGGTGCCTGTGCACCCTACTTTCTAGCTTGAAATTAGTTGGTTGGTTTAAACATTAAATCTCCTAAATTATTTTTTTATAAATCCCATACTCCACCCCTCTCCCCCTTTCCACTCCCCCCCCTTCCCCCTCCCCCTTACTGTGACTCAACTGTAATCAACAAAATAATATAATGCTCTGATTGCTAAGCTACCTTGCTTTTACTTCACATATTCTTATTTCCTATTTTCTTTAGATGCCTTACATTCATACTTTGGAGTGTGTGGTTTATCGCTGATGAAGGAACATGGTCTCTTACCCATACATGCAGCACTCAACATCACCCAACGAGCGGCAGACCACCTCAAGACGCTACACAACTCCTCGAGTTGACATAATTCCTAGTTAAACTATGCGTACAGCATCTGTGTTTGTTTACTGACTACAGTATGCATAAGTGGGAAGAAAGAAATGAAAGGGAAATTTTGGGAAAATAAAGAAATGAATAAGTGGCTCTGGTATACAGGAAAATGGTCTATCTTTGTACATAACTGTTATTGTTCTTTTTTGAATTAGTTTACTTAGAGAATAAATATTAATTATTACGGGACTGATAATGGTTATTAGTATTTTTAAACAAGTGAATATTATAATCTGGTGCACTTATTGGTCACGATTTACGTTTTATGCCGTTATATTCACCTACGGGTGAATATAGCGCACGCACAAGCATGCTCATTTGTAAAATAGAATTTGAGCAGAAAATACCTTTCTCTCTATTTATCATTAAATTCACTAAATAATGTGCTAAATTCACTACTAAGTGTTAAAAATACTAAAACAATTATTTGCCTCAGGCTCATTGAATATCAGGGAATGTTTACCTCGCCACTTAAAGACTCACATCTCGGTAAATATTCCCCAACATCCACTTCATATAACTTGTTAAATAGTTATTAATTACAGGGCTAAATCTAATGGCTGGTCAGTTGCTAGTCATGATTACCGACCAAATTACTTTTAGCTCAGCCATACATCGTTGTTGGCTCAGTGTTGCCCGTCAAAATGGCTGTTGAGGCAGAAATTGGCAGGGGGGAAAATTTGACTGGATAAGTTCCAATTTCTGTTGACCAATCATTATTATTTGCCATGGAATTAGAGATGTAGCTGGGGGTGGGGGTGGGGAATGGGAAACAATGTCAATTACTTGTTGCCTGTTTTTCCACCAACAGCACAGAATCACGAAAAATATATGCTTTCTATTAGGCCTTCAATAACTAGGCTTGTACTCTTTATACTTTTAGATTTACTGGAAATTTGAGACCATTTATCACTCCCAATTCACAAGGTTCTGTAGTGGGAAATGAAAATTACGAAAAGCTTTATTTATTTGCAAAAATCATAGTAAGACTCATTCAAATAACAAATCTGGGGAACTGTGTTATTTGTTTGACATTTGTAAGGATTATTAAATAGACAAGTTAGTAAAGGACTCAATATTATCATGGAAAAACCTTGTATTTGACCTATATCTGAATAATAATGTAGTGTGGTTCGGTATTTACAACCATTTTWAAAATTTCACATCCAATGCTGCCTCCTTTGCAGCCATTCTTAGGGTCGTCAAGCAAAACGGCTGCAAAGGAGGCTACATCCAATGTGGCTCAATCGAGATTGCATGTAGCTACCATCAATCAATCTAACTAACTCAAGACAAATGAGAGCTTTATTGACAAAGAAAACTGGCCAGAGATGGAAATTTGTTGTAAAATGGTTGTAAATTTGTTATCTATGATATTCCTTTATATGACTAGTCAATGAGATGCCTAGATTGAATGTTGATGTTTCAGGGGTGGAGGTGTGAACATTGTCAAAGTTAGTTCAACTAAATTGACGTAATAAACATACTCTTCAGCCATGCATGGCTGGAAAATAAATCTTGTACCTTTTGTGTCATGTTTCCACCCCAAAAATATAAAGAGATAGAGGAAATAAATGAAGGAAAAGGGAATGTTAGAAAAAGAAATTTTAAAAAATGAGAAAAGAAAGACATAAGGAAAAAAAACATAAAGAATCAAAAGAACAAAAAGTAAAGAAATGAAGAATGAAATAAGAGAAAGAGAGGAAGAAAGAGAAGAAAGAAAGAATAATGAAGAAAAGTAAGATGCAAGGAAGGAAGAAAGAAATGGAAGGTGAGGAAGAAGAGAAAGAATGGAAGAAAGAAGGAACGGTCTGATCTGGCCAGCGGTCAATCCCATTTGTCCTCGCCGGCGCGCTTTTTTCAAACATGGCGGACGAGCAAAACAACAGAATTTCGTTTAGTTTTAGTCTTTATTCTCACTAAAACCACAATATGATGTAGCCAACCAATACGAATACGCTATATGCATAAAGCTTTTTCTAAGAGCTCTACGCCTTGTTTGAAATTTAAGGAAGAATAGATATGAAATAGATTTAGACAAATTTTACGAAAATGGTTTAGTTGACGAAGCTGAAAAGTCTTGCTGAAAAATGTTTGAAAATCTCAATTTAAAGATCATATTTTCTCTAATGCGAGTAAAGTAGGGCTTCGATTAACTAAAGATTCACATTATGGAAGGATTTCAGTCCGGTGTACCAGGAAACTGTAAGTTTTTGGTTTTGTCTTGAGTAAACTTATGTTATCAAATTATGATATTTTTCTTATTTGCTTTAAAAATATCACCAGTTGATCATGATTTACTCTTTATTATTTTTGTATTGCCCAGTGTCTTACTGCTATACAAACTATATTATCTCGTATATTAAACCTATATTAAAGTTGAATACTGTTTTCTAATCTCATAATTTAATTGTAGCTGTTGGTATTGCTGTTGTTGTTGTTTCATGAAATACCTACAGTATTTGTAGTAAAACACTCTTGCGTGCATTATTTTTCATGTAGTGGCTGCTGAAGTTGAGAATCTTTTAGCAGAAAAGGTTTCACTAGAAGAGGAATTGATACAATGCAAGGTAAATTGTGATGCATAGCTTTGCATAGATATTGGTATGGAACAATTTCCTATTGTTGCTTGTTTCCCAATGGTGAAGCAAGACAGAATAGAAGATGTAAAAATATTCCATGCTTATTATAAACATGAATAGGGGTGGGTATGTGTACATTAATGTATCACATGAGACCCTAACCTCCTTGAAACTTATACCTCATTACTAATATTGTCAGGAGTGTTCTTTCTATTTCTGCTGTTCATTTTCTCCCAACTGCTTGGTTTGAGGGAGTAAAGGACTGTTCATATTTTACTGGGAAAGGGGGGAGGGTGTGCAGTGGTATTTGGTTGTGGTGGGCTCAAGAGTGAATGGGTTGGGTTGGGGGGGGGGGGGGGTTGCACAAAAAAAATCCAAGTCTCACAGCACTTTTACAATAAACAGCATGAAAAAATTTTTTTTATTTAAAAACAGGGGGTTAGGTTTTTTATTGGTTACCAAACAAACCCCACCCCCATCCCTAATAAAAAATAAATGGTCCCTAAGGTCATATGACCTGTTAATGTGCTACTGGCCAGGCTATACTCCCATTTCAAGTTCGCCTTTGCTCAGTCTTAGCCTYGATTGTGTACAAATGTGTTCTTTTCTTTCATTAAGGTCCATTGTATATTAAGGAATGTACACACTACGGAGTAATACGAGTTGATTAAAATGTCACGGGTTTTGGTTGAATAGCTGAATATTATAACACACAACCGATACTAAAAGGCTGAGCAAAGAGAACTCGAAATTGGAGTATTGCAATTTACTGCAAGGCACATATATTTTTTGTAATTGAACATGAATTCTACATATTACCAATATCTCAAAAACAGTGTTTACTTATCCTTCTGGTCATGCAGATGCTGGAATATTTATTCAATGTGTACCTAATGTTTCATAACAGGAAGATAAAGACTTTGTGTGGAATTTGTGGAAAAGATTACAGTCAGAAAAACCTGACATGGCATCTGTTATAAGCATGGTTGTCGCAAGGTTAGTAATAATTAATTAATATTAATTAATAATGAAAATAACTATTAGTTAACCAATAATTTATAATTAATTTATAATTAATAATTAATTGATAATCATAAATTAATTAATAATTAATTGATATTAATTTATTAATAATTAATTATTGATTAATTAGTTATTAATCATTGAGTCTTAATTAATTATTAATTAATCATTAATTAATGATTAATTATTGAGTCTTTTAATTTTGTATTTGGTCCATTTTTTCATGTTTTAGTATAAAAAAGTTCAGCTCAATTYTAATATGCAAAATATATTTGTAGAGAAAAAGAAAAAGTTGAAAAGAAAGACCAAAAAGTCCTTGAAATACTTCGCTTGAAAGATGAAAAAATCATGGAAATGCGGCAGGTTAGTACTTTTCTAAAATCTTGACCAACTATTATTCATTTTTGTCACATTGGAAAAACCTTAAAATGCTTTTCATGCTATTGATGCTCCACATCTCCCAGACCCCATTGTTTTTGCTTTAGAACTGTCATTAAACCACCACATCTCCTAGACCCCATGTTTTTTGCTTTATAACTGCATGACATTAAACCACTATTTTTTTTTTTATCATTAGGCACTGAACTCTGAGAAAGAGGAAACAAAAGTCAACAAAGAAAGGTTAAGAATTCCTAATTAAAAGCCCATCAAGGGCAGTGATGATCATTAAAATACCTGACTGATTAGGGCTAAAAATAACGCTGGTCATCGGACAATGTCCAGCCACAATTGGAACTACTTGTCTGGTCAATTTTGCCTTGCCGGTCATTTTGGCCAGTAACGTTGAGCCAGAAACAGGGAATGACCAGGCTAATTAACTAATTTTGCTGGTAACCATCGAGACGGGTGACTTATTAGCCAATTTATTCTAGCACTGTTGTATACTGCTATTTTAAAAAAGGTTGAACACTGAATACCACATACTGAATAGTGCATTCCAAGACCAAAGGACATCGTGGGTCTCATTAATTTGAAATAAAAAATAAACTATACAGCAATTAACTCTCTACATGTAGTTAGTATATTGTTTCAGATGGAATACACTAAAAATAGAATAAATAATTAATCCTACTTTAGACATTGTAACTATGACCCACAATGTCCTTTGGTCTTGGCCTGCACTATTCAGTATGCAGTTTTCAGTATTCAACCTTTTTTTGAAATATCTGTAAACATTGTTAATAAGAGTACGAGTTTTTAAAGGATTATTTACTGTTAATACTTATTTCACTAGACTCCATGAACTACTTATCGAGAATGACGAGCTGAAACAAAAACTGGATGAAAGGGAAAATGAGCGTGTTGGTAAAATAAATGAAATGGAGGAAAGAACCAGAGAAATAGAAGAAAAGAATAGATATTTACAACAACTAGTAAGAAAAATTGATTTTCTATCTGCTTCATTAGGAAAGGAATTAATGAGGATTAATTGTGAGCAAAACCAAAGGAAAAGCAGTTAAAAAGAGAGTGGAAAAATTAAGGTTTTTAAAAATAAACAGATCCTCTGGTCTGGTCAAAGGTCAGGACACGGCTAACTTACAGATTGAATTGGAATTTAGCCTATTGGGCTTTTCGGAGGTTTTTCCTGGAGAAAAACACTTGAATCAAGGTAGGAGACCTAACAAACTCTACTCACATGTGATGTTGAATCCAGGAATCAAACCCAATATCTCAGAGGTGAGAGGCAAGTGCTTAGTACTTTTGATCTTGCTAAGATAGGAGACCTGACAAACTCTACTCACATGTGATGTTGAATCCAGGAATCAAACCTGAGGCCCCCAGAGGTTTTAAGCAAGTGCTTAGTACTTTTGATTGTGCTAAGTTATCTTTCTATAGAATCTGATATACTTTGAATAAAAAATTTTCTTTTTTTCCAAATTTTACCAGGTAAAAGCCTACCAAGAAGAGAAGGAATCTAAAGATAATGAACTGAAAGAGAATTTAGAGGATATGAATAAAGAGAAAAATGGTCAGTTAGTTAAGCTTTTCAATGAAAAAAATGAGGGTTGGACCTTTTCAGGGATATTATTTTTTGTGAGCTTCCGCACATTGTTGCAAACTGTGTTGCCAGAGCTAAATATAATGACTGCTCAATGGCCTAATGACTGGCCAATTTCTGTCAGACATTGTCCATTAGTCAGCTATATTATTTTATTATTGTGATGTCCTGTGTTGCACGTCCTTTTCACAGGTCTCAGAACACAAGTAAAGGAGCTAGAGAGTAAAATAGAGGAGCTCAACCAGGATAAAACATCCTTGGAAGATGCTATAAAAAYAAATAATCATTTGCAAGAACAAATTAAGGTGAGTATTATTCTAAATAGTATAAATCAATTTAGTATTTTTGCACAAGTGAATAGAAAAAATCTTGCATTGCTCATTGGTCACAATTTACATCTTATATGCTGCTATATTCACCTACAGCTCATTTTTTGATTTGTGCTGCTTGCAGACAAAGTAGAATTTGAACAAAAAAACTTCTCTCTTTATTATTTATTAAATTCACTTGTGTTAAAAATACTAAAACAATTATTTGCCAAAGGCAAAGTGAATATTTGGGAATATTTTCTGAGATGCAAGTTTTTCAGTAGCGAGGTATTTTTTTCTTTCACCCTTCTTCTTTTATTCACTTCCTTTCTGTTTCTTTCTCCTATTTCTTCCATTYCTTTTTTTTCCTATTTCCCTCTTATTTCTATTTTTGTCCCTTCTCTTTATTGTGTTTACGGCTTTTCTTAATTTTTTCCTTCCTTTTCTATCCTTTTCTTTCATTTCATTCACTGCATTTTCTTCCCTTTCTTTTCTTTCCAAAAATTGATTTCTTTGGGTTTTTTTGTTGTTAAAGGATATGCAAATGAATATTGAAGAATTAACTAAAAAGAGTGAAGAATCTCAGAATCAGGTTAGAAGTACAAAGGATTACAGCTGAGGGAGCCAAGGGTGTTGTAGTAGTGCTAGTGCACTTGCCTCTCACCTCTGGGGTATGGGATCCAATTTCTAGACACAGCATTCTATGTCAGTAGAGTTGCCCTCACTTTGATCAGCCCAGAGTTTGTTTCAGGGTTGGATCTGTGAGTTAGCAGTGCCCTGTTTTTGATCAACCCATAGGTTGTTTCAGGGTTGGATCTGTGAGTTAGCTGTGCCCTGACTTAGATCAGCCCAGAGGTTGTTTCAGGGTTGGATCTGTGAGTTAGCTGTGCCCTGACTTAGATCAGCCCAGAGGTTGTTTCAGGGTTGGATCTGTGAGTTAGCCGTGCCCTGACTTAGATCAGCCCAGAGGTTGTTTCAGGGTTCGATCTGTGAGTTAGCCATGCCATGACTTTGATCAACCCAGAGGTTATTTCAGGGTTCAATGAATGAGTTAGCCATGCCCTGACTTATATCAGCCCCGTGCTCGTTTCAGTTTAATAAAATTTAAATGAACTGAATTTTTTCTCAACCAGCATGATGAAGCTATCACAGCATTAAAGTTGAGAGAGAGTCAACTGCAAGAGGAAAGTAAAGCTGCCCACTTTTTGTCTGGTGAAGTAAAAGACAAAGAGAGGGAGCTTATAAGATTAAGGTACATTGTAAAGAACCCATTGTAAATAACCTGCACCGATCAGCTACCAAATAAATTATATTTACAGATTTTATTTTGTGTGTGTGTGTCCACAGTATTTGTGTTAAGTTGTATCACTTTTAAGAAAATTATTTTAACAACATTTTTTTTGAGACAGCTGATCTTTTACATTTTAAATTTAGGGCAGAAGTTGCAGAATCCAAGAATGGTTATGACAGGGCAATGGGTTTAATCAAAGAACAAACAGAAATAATTGAACATTTACAAGGAACACAGGATCAGCTATACAGAGGTGCGTGGTTTATATACAGTGGTTTATCTTTGGGACCCCCAAATATGCTTGGGACCCCCTAATATGCTTGAGACCCCCAAACATGCTTAAGACCCCCAAATATGCTTTGAGACCCCCAAATATGCTTGAGACCCCCAAATATGCTGGGGACCCCCAAATATGCTTGAGACCAACAACGAAAATTATTGATCGTACTTTTGGTTATTTTAGTGAATGAAGATCATAAACAGTCGTACGAAAGAGATATTGCATCGCTGCAAAAGGTAAAAATGTTTTTACTGACATCTAGCATGAAGCGCTGTCACACATAGCTGCAGAAAAGATACTTCAAATGCGTGAAAAGTATTTTTCGACGCATCGCAATAATCTTCCACGTTTTCATGGTTGTTTTCCCCCAGGAAAACGAAGATTTGCAGCTTCTTTGTACTCAGTATCAAAGTAGACAGGAGCACCTTCAACATGAGATTGGAGTACTGCGACAGGTTGGTAAACAAGCTCTTTTGCATTTATGTAACCTCTTATATTATCCTTATACCTTTTGGAAAACATCAATATGAAAAAATTATGGATAGTTTTTCCTTTATTTATGGATCAGGAAAAGGCGAGTCATTTCGAGGACGTGTTAACCAAAGAGCGTCTGATAGAAGAACTACAGCTTTCCCTAGATGAGCCCGGCCGTGGTTCCGCTGCCAGCCCAACTAAACGTGCTAGACTAGATTCAGAGGTAATTAATGGGAATCTCGTCTACAAATGTAGAGCTTTTCAGAGATGGCGCAATGTGATGCATTATGGTCTAGCTTGGGTGCAAAAATTTTATTCATTTTACGATGCGCTATATGGTGTTGTATGTACCCAATTTAGACCAGAATGCACGTTGATTATCAAACCCTAAAAAAAACTACGCATTTTTACGAGCTTTTTTTAAACATAAAATAAACGTTTTCGCTCCACATCAGCATTCTTATCGTTGTATTTTCAACATTATGAAGACATTTTTCTATCGAATTTCTAGCAATCTTGTAGGCGATGTAAAGAATTAGAAGAAAAACTAGAGGTTATGCAGGTAGAAAACGAGGAGCTTTCTGATGCTTTACAAGAAAGATCGAGGTAACCACACGTAGTGAACATTATAACCTTATATGTGGATCGCTTTGGGATGATAATGATGGTGGTGGAAGTGGTCTGGTGGTGACGATCAAGATGATATTATTGGCAATATATAATGGTGGTGGTGGTGGTGTTGGTGTTGGAAATGATGTTGGTGTCGATGATGATGTGTGATGATGTGTAATGATAATGGTGTGTGATGATGATGATGATGTCGATGATGATGTGTGATTATGTTGATGATGATGATGTGTAATGATGATGATGTGTAATGATGATGATGTGTAATGATGATGATGATTGTGTGTGATGATGATGTCGATGATGATGATGTGTGATGATGATGATAATGATAACGCATGATATTGGTGGAGATGTTGACGGATGTTAGGGGTGTGGTAATGATGCCAGTGCATGGTATTTTAAATAATGATTGTGGTGGCTAATAATAATGTGTCTTTGTATCCCCCTMCCCCCCTCCCCCACAAGGAGGATCTCTTCACTGCAGAAGACATTAAAGAGCACTATAACAAGTAGACACAAGAGCAGTGACAAACAATCTCCAGGAGGGGTTAGTAGAATCACCAATGTTTTGCAACGTTCTAACACTTTAAGATTTTTTCTAGTGAAAAGTGCTGCTATTCTCGTTCCCACGGCTCCGAACTCCCTTTGGTATGTTCCTTTTTGCTTCCTTTCTCGGGCAATACCTGCAACAGGTCGGAATGCAGCTCAATTTGGTGGACATAACAATAGGTTTCCATTTCTCATGAGATTGAAATTCTTTTGTTTTGTCCTCCGAATTGAGCTGCTTTGACGTCACATGCAAGAGGTCTGTACTTGAAAGAATTAACAAATATACATCAGTTTTTTATCTATCTGTCCTCTTAATGATGATAAAAAATAACCAATCAGCGCGCGAGAAATTCGTAAGTTATTGTAAAATACGTTATCGAGTGTGATATGAAAGATGCATGAACTACACATACAAAAGCTAGAATGCTTCTGCTATTGCGTCCTTACTATCTTACGCGCATAAAACGACGAAGTAACGGGGGAAATGCTTCTGCTAATAACCCTTCTCGTCGATCATTTTCAGAGTTCTCAACGAATGGACGAAGAAAAGGATGAAACGGTTGAAATACCAAGTCAAGACCAAGTAGACACCCTGTTGCGCAAACTAGATCGATGTCAGAGAAAAATAGAAGATCATAAAAGACTGCTGGACTTGAAGGTAACTAAGGAGGCTTTCATTTCGGTATTAGCGCATGGGGGGGGGGGGGGGGTCGGCAAAATGGTGCGGTTACGTTATTTTGAGGAAGTGATTAGGAAGACATCGCATATTGAGGGGGCTTAGAGCTATTGCAAGATGATGAAAGGGTGGTTATGCAATYGTTACTTCTACCAGGGAGGGTTGTTTTTGTGTCATATTTGTAAAGCTTTCCGTGTGACCCCTTCAAGAAAACGCCCGTTTTATGGATAATATGAAACAGCCTCTGGGCTGGTCTAAGTTAGAGAATGGTTAGCGCGATGTTATTGTAGTTCAGGGTACTATAGGTTTTATGGAGGGAAGAAAATTAGAGAACTCGAAAAAAAACCCTCGAATCAAGAGAGAAATACAACAAACTCTACTCACATGTGATGCCGAAATCGAACCAGAGACTCAATAGGTGAATGTAAAAAATATAAATGTTTTTACGTCAATTGTAGGGAGTGATTGCTCAATCTCCCGAGCCATAGGCTCATGTCTAAGCTTCCGGCGCCAGATCGAATTGGAATTTAGTAGTGTTGGTTTTTACGAGGGGAGGGGGGAGATTGGGGGTAGGGGGAATCAAACCCGGATGTCGCATTGGTGACAGGCGGCGCATTAGCCGCGTACTTCATCCTTGATTATCCAAGCTATCTTCGCCTCCCTAAAAACATTAATTATTAGAAAGTTGGTAATCATCGAATGGATTGCTTATCGCCTTCTTTTCCTATAGGATAGCGAATTGAACGAAGTTCGTCGCGCCCACAATCAAAGGCATCAGCGGTATCGTTTATTAAAAGAGAACTATGAGCTTGTTCAGAATCAACTGAGGACATTTGAAAGTGAACCGTGAGTATCTTGGACTGAAATAAGGAATGATTGTTGTAATGATTATCGGTTAACTGACAAAAATAGTTGTAGTTAACTGACAATCGTGTACCCTCTTTCCCCCCCCTAATAAAGGTCAGGAAACGATCGGTCGGTTTTTTCAATGTGCCCGGATAACAGAGGATTGACCAGACAGACCGAGAGATTCAACTCATTAAACCTTATAATATTTTTTTAAGGAGAGAGGGTACCCCTCCTGAACGACCAAGTGAGCGTGCTCTAAGACACGAGAATAGCGATGGCGTTTGGAACGAACTCACGTACTACCGAGGAGAATTTGAAAAACTAAGCAAAGAAAGGTAAATACTTTAGTTTTAAATTACTGCTTCCCATCATTATAGATCATATTAAAAACATTCCCTTGAGTGTTACTTCTTTCTTTTGAGTGATACTTCCTTCAATAAAATTTCCTACTATTAAAATTTCTTCTTATTAATTCTTTTCCTTTCTAACGTCGGTGAGACTTACAAAGTATTTCTCTCATTTTTTTCCGCAGACATAACGTCTTAGAGGAGTTGGATGTTCTACGTGTTGAGCATGCGAACGATCTGACCACCATTCAAGAACTTAAACTCTGTTTGGAGGAAGAGAAAGAAGGTATATTGTACAGCGTAATATCCTAGTTTTTGTAAGACTTGAAAACGTACTGAACACTGCACGGTCACGGTACGCAATAGACTTTTTACGAACAACTTATAGTAGCCTGCGTAGCGGCGCTTTGAGAAGGGAGACTGGGTCTCCTTCTTCCTCCCCCCCCCCTCCCCCTCCTCCTCTCCCGCACCCTCCCTCCTTCCTCCTCTCCCCCTCACTCCTCCTCTCCCCCTCCCCAAAGCGCTACGCAGGCTACTCATAGCAAGAGAGATGACTTACACAATGTATTTTGTTACCTAATTTTTGGGCATATTAGGTCTTCTTGACAAGCTAAACGAAGAAAACAAAAAAAATGAAGCGAAAAATATCGCAGAGGCAAGAAAAACCGCTTCCGTAATGAAAGAAGAAATTACTGCGCTGAAGGACTTGGTATGGAACCGAATAAATAAAAACGAATGAACGAACGTACGAACCAACCAACCAACCAACCAACCAACCAACCAACCAACCCACCCACC